ATAACATGAGATGTGATCTCTATCTGTGCCCTGTATTGTATATCACTTCCACTTGTACAGTGCCTGTAATTTGTGAATTGATTCAAATTGGTTGCCCTGGTTGGGAGTTTTGGGGTGGGGTCATAGCACCCCTAAAAGTAACTCACCAGGCGGTGAGTGCTCCAACATTGGAGGCATTCAAGAGAAATTTAGATGACCACCTGGCAGATATCCTTTGATTTGGAGCCCTGAATTGAGCAGGGGGTTGGACTCTAGGCCCTTTCCAACTTCATCATTCTATGATTCCCATGCTCAGATTTCAAAACAGTGCCCAGGTTAGCATGTTTAACATATCGGGCTCATCCTGTTCCCTCCGTCAGATGATTATTTCTATCGGAAGTGGGCAGTGTGCATGCTGTGGGCCATTTGTGGCCCTTAAGGATCATCATGGCCAATATCCTCCTGTAGAGCAAGCAAAGGGTTATGTCGAACCCATGTCACTGTGCATGATCTTGGAGTCACTGTTGCACACACCACCGAGTGCTCCATTCCAGTGAACGGGGATCACTCTTGTTTATGCAGGTCCTGGTTACCTACTTGTGCAAAAGCTAAAGGAAGCCTAACTGCTCATGAAACGTAAGCGATAGAAGTCAACAAGGGCTCTGTCTCATTTCTGTATCTCCCCCCCCCGCCTCCCCAGGGCATGCCGCAGCGCTTGCCGCTGCCACCGATCGAACCATTTGGTTGGGAACCAAAGCATGGAGACACTCGGCAGTCTCTTTGTAACAAGAATTGCACTCTGGAGAGCCTGAAGCAGTGGTTTCCAACCTTGATTCCCAAGATATTCTTGGACTGTAACTCCCAGAAGTCCTGGCCAACCCAGCTAGTGGTGAAGGCTTCTGAGAACTTTAGTCCAAGAACATCTGGAGGCTCAAGGTTGGGAACCACTGGCTGGAAGAAACAATAAGGAAAAAAGATGAAGTCCCACAAGTTTCTGGAGGCTTATGAACCCACAGAATGCTTGAGCAGAGAGGTGCTCCCCTAAATTTTGAAGTTCTGTGACCCTTCTTTAGTCTGTGAGCTCCCCAGACCTGAACCCCAGTAAGTTACCAACCCGTTGTTTGTACACTGGCTTCTATCTTCAAAACAAACATGTCTTCAGTTATTTACAGAAACATAGAGTATATCCCTATATTAAAAATCTTGCTATTTCTTTCTTCAGCCAGTGAGTCAGTACTCAGAGCTCCATCTACTGGGGTTTACCAGTATATTAAAAATAGATTTCTTTATTAACTCTAAACTCAGTAATACTGTATTTTAACACTCCCTGACCGCCCTGGTACGTACAGTTTCATGCATGCATCTGTAAATATGGAAACACAACGATGTTCACCAGTAAGGATAGACCCTGTGGTCCATGAGGCTTCCCAATCCACTTGGTTTTCACCGTGGGGGGGGGAGCAAATTCCCATTTTTTGAATTTATTTATTCTTATTTTATGCATTAAATTTAAACCCCAGCCATTGAGTGCCGAGGCTAACATTTAAAAACGAAACCGCAGCTACCCGTCCCCGCTTACAAGGTGTAAATAGTGAGATCCAGAAAAGCATTCCGGATCTCACTTATTTACTCCAAAAATCCAGAGGAAAAAAGAAACGTGGATAGCAGATCGGAACCATAACCACTACATGGAGCCACGAGGATTTCACGGGGTAAGATGTTTCTGAAGGCCTCTTCAAACAATGTACTGTAGTTTTGACCCATTTCCTGAAGGCCAGAAGGGAGCAGTCCTGGCACATATCTGCAGGAAGCATATTCCATAGTGGTGTGGCCACCACCGAGAAGGCCTGCTTCCTGCTGGCAGTCTTCTGGGCTTCTCTCAGGGTGGCAACACGCAAACGTGGATTGGGTGGCATAAGTGGACAATCTTATGGAGACAAACTTACTTCGGTGAGTTTTTTTATGTATTGCAATGTACTTCTTCATACTCAGTGCGTTTGAAGACATGGTTCTCTAGTCTGTGAAAATGTACGTGGAAGTGTAATCCGCCAAAGCTGTCACTGGAAAGGTGCCACAATATTCTTGTGTTTATTGTTGTAGAAAGAAGTATCGACATATTAAATTTTTTATCGTTAAGGTGGACAAACTGGCTACAAAGTGCGTGCACTTCCTTGAAAAGTATCCCCAGTCACTTCGGAAAAGGCTTGTACTGGTCACAAATGGTAGTAGGGTCCTGCCCCGCCTCCATGTGTCGTAGAGAGAGCAGAGAGTGCCACTGTGTGAAAAATGTGGGGGTGGGACACAAAATTAGCCTTCCAAAATCTTGTGTGTGTGTGTGGAGGGGCCCCCTCCCCGAGAAGTTGTCCACCCCTGCAGGAGAAGCAAAGTGAAGTGACCGACTCCAGGAGCAGAGAAGAACACATTTCTAGTTATAGTGGTGCCTCGCTTAACGGCGATAATCCGTTCCACGAAAATCGCTGTTAAGTGAAAAAATTGTAAAGCAAAAATAAAAAGCCAATTGAAACGCATTGAAAACCATTCAGTGCATTCCAATGGGCTAAAAACTCACAGTCCAGTGAAGATCCTCCATACGGTGGCCATTTTCGGTACCTGTATAGTGAGGAATCCTTCCCTAAACACAGCGGGGAGCCATTTTAAATACCTGGTAGCCATTTTGAAGCTGCTGATCAGCTGTTAAAAAACCATTGTTTTGTGAAGAATCGGTTCCCGAAGCAGGGAACTGATCATAGCAAATCGAAAAAACCCTATTTAGACCATTGTTTGTGATCGCAAAAGTGATCGCAAAAATGTCATCATGAAGTGGATTCGTTGTAATGTGGGGTAATTTTAAAGTGGGGCACCACTGTACTGTATTTGCCTTACTATTATCGTCTTCTTCACTTTCAGGGAGAGGGTCAGGGGTCCATGTGGCATCTCATGTTCCAAGTAATTCATGTGGCTTTGGTTGCTAGTACGCCTTATGTTGAGTGCGTTGAGGTGAAAAGCATCATTTAATGTCCCACCTCAGGCGCCAATTTGTCTCCTGATATTAGATAAATAGTTGTGATTTGGAATATCCCCAGGGGTCCATGTGGCATCTCATGTTCCAAGTTATTCATGTTGCTTTGGTTGCTAGTACGCCTTGAGTTGAGTGAGTTGAGGTGAAAAGCATCATTTAACGTCCCACCTCAGGTGCCAATTTGTCTCCTGATATTAGAGATAAATGCTGTTGTGATTTGGAATACCCCCATGCAGTGCAGTGGAAAGAGTGATGGCCTAGGATTCGGGAATGACCTGAGTTCAAATGACTGAAGATGGTGACATGATATTAGGGGTTTCTATAAACTGGTCACAAATCGGTGGGATATAGTACACGGTGATGATTTTAGGCTGGGAAGCAACTGAATGCACAAGGGCCGGCCTTCAGATGAAATTGCCAGTCACTGAAATATTTGGTACTGTCTGGTTCAGAAACCAATGAGACCTGTAGGGAGAATCAGTGGCCACAGAAGAGATTAACTGGCTGTCATTTGCCTGTGAGCACTACCCACCAGTTGTGTTCTGTTGTGTGTCTCGCTGCTCTACAGGCCCTAATGCAGCTTTACCATCATCATGAGCAGGGTTATCAAAGGAGAGCTTTCTGTTTGCATTTTGCAAAAGCCCTGCCCTGTGGTGATGATGTTGCATCAGAAGAGGGAACACCTGATCAGTATAACACTATCCTCAGAGTGAAACGGAAACCAGAAGGATATGAATGAGTGTCACTGCACAGGAGCGAACGAAGATTTCACCCTGGAGGTCAAACTATACATTACAGGTAGCCCTCGATTAGCAACTGAAATCAGATGGAGATGTAATTCAGCAGGCCTTCCTTGTTGAGCGGTCATACTTGCAAAAGGAACCTGCGCTTGGCTTCCAATAAGCGGAACAAATTTAGCTAAGCTTGCAAATCATGAAAATCTCATTCTGTGTCGGTCAAATATTCTCAGAACTTAAGGAATTTCTTCTTTAAATGACAAGCTGTTTGTAATGTATTATTTGGCCCTGGGTCTTGGTTTTCTTTATTGTTCTCTGCTTTTTCCCCCCTGGACATTTAAGCAAGAAAAGTACTGGCAGGGATGGTAATGATGATGTCTCAACTAGGTTCAATGAAGAAGAGAAATGTCAGTGAGTTGGGTGCAGAAAATAGCCGGACCACTTTGACCAAACCTGTTGAGTAACTGGGAGATGATGAAAAATATTAAAGCTGTGCTGAACCCTCTATCCGTGGAACATCTGCTCTCCCAAAAGGGGAAGTGCTTTGGGGGAAAGATGCAAAAATCTGGACAAATTTCAAAGTTGGTGTCTAAGTCTAAGATGAGCTGGCAGTGGGGAAACTGTGTTTTAAAAAGAATAACTCTTCTGGTTTAGACACCTTTGTCTAAATGTAAGACGGCCAGACAGGGACAGGAATTTCTCAGACCTGTCCCCCAGTTACAAAAATCTTTGGGGGAATTTCTTCCCTTCTTTTGCGAAAACGTCTAAAATAGCTGGAATGAAAGTTTCAGCTCAATTCTGAAATGGGATGAGGTGCCTTTCGGATAGGAATGGTTCCATGTATATGACTGTCTGCTAGAATTTTGAGAGTTGTAGATAATAAAACAGTCCCATTGCTAATATGAACTAGAGTAGACCTACTGATTTGACCCAACTCCAGGAGGCAGTGGAAGACAGGAGGGCCTGGCATGCTCTGGACCATGGGATCACGAAGAGTCGGACACGACTTAACGACTAAACAACAACAAAAAGACCTATTGAATCAATAGCATTTACGTATGTTTTGATTTACCATACAGCAGTTGTGTTTCATTTATTTTCTCTGGTTGGGACTGAATTTATCCCGTTGTGTTCTACTGATCCATCTACCAGGAAAGATTTGCACACTTCTTTTGTCCTATTGAGAATGTTACGTAAGAAAGTTTTAATAAGTAAAATAGTGTTATGCCTCTTCTCTAATTTTTATTCCTCTTCATTTTAGGAAGCATGGCATCCTCTCACCTGTACGATTACAGTTCTTCCAAGATACCAGAGAGGGACAGTGGCTCCTTTTACACCTCCTTGATATCCCATGATCTCTATACATCTCCTCAAGATTCCTTGTATTACACAGGAAGTCTACCCACAGGGGGCATCCGTTTTACTCCTTCAGACAGCACGGAAGGCTTGCATGCCCAGGATGGGGCTGCCTTTGAGTCCCGTGGTTTATTTAGCTCCGATTCGGGGATAGAGATGACGCCGGCGGAATCCACCGACATCAACAAAACCTTAGCTGATCCCATAGAGCAGATGAAACTGGAAGCTTATAAATACATGGACATGAGTAGATCCGAAGAGATCCAATGCCGGGAGAGGTGTGACACAGGCTTGGGAGATGTGGGTCCTCCGAGTTTGATTAATCAACGCCAAGAAAATAAGACTGGACTGACAGGTTTTGAGGAGAAGCAAACGGCCAAAGAGCCTGGTTTGCTTGAGGAGTCCGCTTTTGGTGATCATCAGTACCGTCCCTCGGCAACAACACCTGTGAAGATCACACTGACCGAGACAGAAGCCACAGAAAGATCTGGCACAAAAGAGAAAAAAAGTCCAGAAAAACAGGAGAAGGGCCTCAAACCTAGCCATGAAGTGGTCCCTACCGTGACTGTGTCCGAACCGGAGGATGACAGCCCGGGCTCTATCACCCCGCCATCTTCCGCAACAGGTAAAAACCACCGGCACTCAATAATACAATCAAAAATACCTCTTTCTCCATCTGCATGTGTTCAGATGATGAGCTATGCTCATTTATGAGAAAACAGGGTATCTATATTTGGATGGTGAAAGTTGTGTATATTTTAACTTTTTTTTGTAGTGTTGTCCAGTTTTACCTTGGGGAAGAGCACCTCATTTTGTTGCACCCACTTGTGAGCGCAATGACAAAAAAATTTCTTATGTCTTATGTCTTATGTCTATGCTAAATTAGGCCTGAGGTGAATTTTAGAGGAAGTGCTCTTGAGTATGTGATCAATAGGTCTGAAAAATACCAGCATTGAAGTCAGTGTGGGTACCAGCTCAGCTGTGAGCACAAGATGCTTCTAGGTGGGTTGTGAGTAGAGATTGGGGTCTTCGTATATGAATATCAACCTCGAGGCAAAATCCGGAGCCGGAGTCCCGGAGGCAGTTCGTGTCGTTCTGGCAACTCCTGCGACGTCGCTGGAACCAGTTGTATTGGCTCTTGCCTTTCCATTGGACTATTTCAGTGACGTGGAGAGGGGGGATTTGCTGCTTGGGTAACAGCCTATCCTCCATATTATTTTACTCAAGCTTCATCCCCTGAAGAGGACACTCCAGCTTCAAAACACTAGACGCTGTTCCAAGTCCTCCTTACAGAGCACATTACCATAGTCTCTCGAGACTGAAGGATGCCTATGTATGTGGACTTAACGAGAGGCCGGCCCCTGTTGCTGGCCCATCCACTTGCGCGTCTGGCAGCAGCCGTAGCCTCACTCATCCTTCCAATCGCTCCTGGAGCTCCACTCTCTTCCTGCTCGGCTAGCGGCTCAGCAGCCATGCAGGGAGACTGGTCCTCCCTTACTGCCTGGACCCCCCAGCTGAGCAGGAAGAGAGCGAACCTCCGGAAGCAATTGGAAGGATGAGCGAGGCTGCCGCCCGCTGGCGGACACAGGGGCTGGCCCCTCATTAAGTCCGGCTGTGCAACAGAGTGGACTTCCGGGAGCAATTGGAAGGATGAGCGAGGCTGCCACCCGCTGGCGGACGTAGTGGCTGGCCCCTCATTAAGTCCGGCTGTGCGACGATATTCGGATACGAATACCCCCATCTCTAGCTATGAGCAGAATATCCCCAAATTATGTTATCCAATCTTCCCAAGTTAGAAAGGGACACAAAAAAGGGCTCGCTGTCCATTGGGAATGGTGTTAGTTCTTCCTCACAGCAACGCGGTGTGGTATATTACTAACTCAGTCACGTTTTACATATAAGGAACTGAAGGAGACAAGACCCATGCCACAAGGTCATTTTGTAGATTTATGCCTAAGAAGAGTCACCCACAAACTCCTTATATCCCTTGTCATTCTCAGGAGGTTGAGTTTTATTCCCCGGTACCAAGCCTGCTTCTGTGTGATGGAGTTTCTTTGACCCTATGTGTTTCATGGAACACTTTGCTTTTAAGCACATCAGTGTATCTCTTGGGCCTTAAATACTTAACTAAAATTGAAAATGCAGCAATTTGTCCTACTGTGGTCATTGGGAAAACGACATAGATGCTTTCCTTCATGACATGTTGACTTTCCTACAGAGTGTCATCGCAATGCATGCCTCATCCTACTGATCCTAAGGCATCCACACTAGAGTTTAAAAAGCCATGTTTCCAAAACCGCTTGCATGAGGAGACTGTTGAAATCTTTGTTTGAAGGCCACACCCGGGCCGTAGCTTCTTTGGTGGAGCTATCTTTTAATCTACGCAAGCTTCCAATCATGAGAGATCTAATGAGAAAAATTGTATGGGAAATACCATAGCACTGAACTCTGCTCACCAGAAGAAACCTTTGAACAAAATACAGTAAACGATGCCTTCCAGGAAAGAGGGGGGAATGCTCCAGGAAGTCTGGATTTTGTTACTCTTGTTCCCAAGGCAGGCATCATGTCATGTGGCTGACAAGGGGGTGGGGGACCTAAAATAGTCATTGACAATCCAGGTATATGTACGGGAACATATAATCTGCCATTATATTAATGTCTTTTATAGATTAGGCATCCTTCACTCTCAAGAGACGATGGGAACATGCTCTGTATGGAGGATTTGGAACAGTGTCTAGTGTGGCTGAGAAGGCCAATTCGAGAGTGACAATGCCTTTCACACTGAAGACAAATCCAATCTGTCCCCTGTCCAGCTCCCTGATTTTGTTGCTTTCGTGACTGCCTCTTTGCCTCGGCCTGCTAGACAAGGGTCTCTTCAAATTGGGAGAGGCCGTGATGCACTGCCTGCCTCCAGGCTGAACACTCAGAGGTCAGGGTTTCCCATCTGTTGAGATCCATTTCTAAGGCCTCCAGATCCCGCTTGCAGATGTCCTTGTATTGCAGCTGTGGCCTTCTTCCCTGCACTCATTCTCCATCCAGGAGATCTTTTATATAACCCAAAGTTATGGGTTCTTAGTTGCATGCACCTACCTCTTTTCTTCATTTTGCCCAACTTATTCTAATTTTATGTTTTTCTGGAGTTTGGAGAAAAGGCCTGGAGCAATAGAAGGATAGACAGTTGTGCCAGCCAGGGTCTGAGCTGTAGCTGGAGAGGTCAAGGAGAGGAAGCGATAAGAAAGGAATAAGGAGGTGGATGGATCACTCCCTCACTGTATTAGTGGAATCTTGCAAGGAAATCTGCTATCTTCTGATATTTAATACCCGGGTATTAACAATAGATATTATTCATTCTAGTAAACTTGATCCTTTCTTTGGAAGATGGAATGGTACTGCCCTATCAACAGAGCTTGGAAAAGCGCTGGATTATATCCTCCTACAGCCTCTTAGCGATGCTGTATGGCGAATGATGAGACTTGTTATTGGAAAGTAGACTTTTCCAAACTCTACTTTTATGTAGCACAGTCTTCTCTTTTGGCTTTGCTTAGGTATGGTAGCTGATGACAGATAGTTGGCAAAATCAAGAAACCACCACCCATCCAGAATGTGCCTTGAATCACACCAGGTTCTGGTGTGTGGATTGAAGTCTGTTTGGCTATCCAGATCAAAGGGATTGTGTAGAGATTTACAGGGGAAGAAATTCTTTTTTCTTCTGTATCCCCAAATCCTAATGTCATCCTGGGACCAGAACAGCCTTCCTGCATGTTTGCTGCCCTACCAGTGTATGATGTCTGCTCATCCTGTAAATTTGTAGATAACTAATTTATAACGTGCCTTTCCAGTGCTGTCTCCTTTCTCAGATTCGCACCTCATTAGAGATGCATGAAAGTGGAGAGGATTCTGCTCAGAAACAGTCAGGGTTTCCTTTTTTTAAAAGTTAATTTGCCTACCATTTCCCTTGAGTAAGGCTTGGGTTTTTTGGTGAGCACTTGGGAACAAATCAGGAGATAAAAACTAAAGAAAACCCATCTCCAAAAGCTGTGGTTTTGTCCACGAACCATTATCAAGGCTACAGGGACTTTAACACTCTCTCTTTACAGTTAGTGGGAAACTTTGTCCCTGTCTCCATCATTTTAAAAAATCATGGAGTAAGATGGAGCAGGATTAAACCCTACTTTGATGTAGACCTTTGGGTCCAGAGTATTTTTCAGGGTAGAATTTGTTTTCTTCCCGTGTATGGCCATTTCAGGAGCCAAACGCTTGGCTGACGGTGCCCATGGAAAAAGAACGGTCAGCGGGTGGGTTGAAAGCCAAATCAAAGCAGAAGGGCTTAGCTTAGTTCTATTCCAACATCAGGGCAGGGAGTGCTTGGCTACTTGAACCCATACCCACCCACTTTCAAATGCTGCTCCGGCATCTCTGAATGTCACACGATGTGGAACTTTCCTTCTGATTGGCAACATACAAAGGACGACATGAAGAGACACAGACCCTCCAGATGTGAAAAACGCCCAGGAAAGACTCTGGAGCTGAGGGTGGGGAGAGGAGGTGTGTGCATTTGTATTTTTTGGATGACAATTCCCAGGATTCTCTGGGCCTCTATTTTGCCCAAAGAATTCTGGGAGATCTAATCTGAAAGCACAAATCTGTACACCCTTATTGGAGATGATACGGCTTGTAAGCATGGAACGGTTGCTTCTGAAATCCTTCACCAGTAGTCAGGCTGGATGGGCTTAGGGGAGTTGAAGTGGGGCAATATTTGTGGGGCAGCAGGCCCCACGGAGTTGTTCCAAAGTATGTGCATGATCGTTCTCAGTGCGGCTTCTGTCTAATTTGTATGAAAAATCTTGGCGCACTTGCTCTAGAACTTGAAGGTTGGGAGGTCATTTAGTACTTGCTAACCAAAACATTTCCTTCCTCTCTTTGTCCCGTGTCAACGTCCCTCTCCTGTTCCTCCTCATCTCCTCCTTCTTCCCTCCTGCCCCTTTTCCTCTGGTTTTACCTCGAAATCCTAGAACCATCCGGCTCAGAGTCCCACGGTAAAGGAAGTCTGTCTGAAGACGATCTGATCAGTGCCATGAAAGAAGCAAAGAGCTTCTCCTACAAACAGCCCGAAGGCCAGAGATCTTCGGCGATTGCCCCAGAGAAACAAGGTCTTCAAAACACGATGCCGGATCTCTCCGCCGGCAGCAAACTTCACTTAGATAACGAAGCAAGCAGTGCCGAATCTGGCGATTCTGAGATAGAGCTGGTCTCGGAAGACCCGTTAGCGGCCGAAGAGGTTCTCCACTCCAACTACATGACCTTTGGGGGCCATGCGGGGGGCCCTCCTCCTTCCCCAGCCTCTCCCTCCATCCAGTATAGCATCCTGAGGGAGGAACGTGAGGCGGAACTGGACAGCGAACTCATAATCGAATCGTGCGATGCTTCATCGGCTTCCGAGGAGAGCCCGAAACGGGAGCACGACTCTCCCTTGATGAAGCCGATCATTATGGACATCATCCAGGAGGAGAACCACTCTAGAAACGAAAGCGCCGGGGCTCCCAATTACAAAGTGGGGAGCTCAAAGGAGAGCAGGATGAACAGGGAAAACCTAGCGGACTCCGCTGCCTACTTGAAGTGCACTTTTGGGGTGCCGAAGGTGGACGCGCCATCTTTCCCTGCCATTGGCTCTGAAGAGATCAAGGGCAAAGCCGCTCAGAAGAAGTCGGCCACGGCGGTGGCCACTGTGGCCACAAGCAAGCCGGTGTTTAGGAGTCCCTGGCCTTCTCCACCGTTGCCGTTTCTGAATAAGCAAAAAGGTAATTCCATATTTTTTTTCTTGTTCTCTAAAGCAGCCATTCTCATTGGGGGGTGGGTCGGTGTGGCCCCTTGGTGACCCCTGGCACATTTGAAGGGGGCCACACAGACTGGATACACTTCTTCACACCCCACCTTATGAGGTTTGTTATGCGATTTACACAACCCTGATTCGGCTCATATTTCTTCCATGTTTTGACACAACCCTGATTCGGCTCATATTTCTTTCATGTTTTGTTTACGGCTGTGGCCAAAAAGTTTGAGAATGGCTGCTCTCTAAAGTCATGGACATTTGCTGCTCGTATATGGACAGAATATTCTGACGCAGCACAAACTGGCTCAGTGAACTGTTTTTGCCTTCTCCTGCAGAATAATTTCAAATGGTTTATTATTTACTTATTTATTTTTTAAAAAGTTTCCCCACCTTTCTCCTTGAAAAAGGACCCAAGGCGGCTTACAACGTTGAAAGATAATATTTTAAGTTGAAAACAATGAGTATTCAAAGGCAACTAACATCAAAGACATTATTTGAATCTAGGAACAATGAGTAGGTTAAAAGGCAATATAAAAAGCTAAGAACGTCATCATTAAAAGGCAATATGAAAGGTAAGAACAATAAGTATGCAAATATCAAAAAGAAAAACAAATGCCACTCTGAAAAATGGAAAACACTGGTACTATACACCTAGTCAAAGCAGTCATGCATAACAATCCCTCTAAACATCACACACAGGTAGCTGGTTTACTGAGGGAAGGCTTTCCGGAAGAGAAAGGGCTTTGCCTGCTTGCGGAAGGACAGCAAAGATGAGGCCAGGCTGGCCTCCAGTGGGTGGGAGTTCCAGAGTCTAAAGGAGCAGCCGCAGAGAAGGCCCTCTCCTGTGTCCCCACCAAGCACACCTGTGAAGGTGATGGGACCGAGAGAAAAGCCTCCCCTGATGATCTTAACACCTGAGCTGGCTCATAATGGGAGATATGATCTTTGAGATAGCTTGGACCCAGGGCTGTTTAGGGCTTTATAGGTTAAAACCAGCACTTTGAATTGTTCTATGAAAGGTAAATACATTTAGGAAGGAAATTATTAACAGTAGGAGCCCATAAAGGCTGAGAACGTACAATCAAATACTGAAGAATTTGCTGTGGGTGTAAAACGTATGCATTTGCTTTTTTTTAACTGATCACATGACACAAAGCGCATTAGAATGAGCCCAGCCCTTTTTGCTCCTAAGATGGAGGTTTTTTAAAATATCTATTTCTGGGTGGGATGGGGTTCCACTTTTTTTTCAAGCTGTAATGATTTTTTTTCTGTGTGATCAGTTGTTTCATTCTCCAAAAGGATGACAAGGTGTGACTCTGGGTGGCATTCTGATAATATACTAAGTTGAGCCTTATGTTCTGGACAGCAGAAACACCCACCTCTGTGATCTTTCTCTACAGTTGCCCTAAAGTGGGTTAAAAAACAACAACTGCTGAGTTTAGCACTTTATCACCTTATCACTACCTTGATATACAGTAGGACTCCCTTAGCTGTGGGATCCATATCTGCTGATTTATTTATCCACGGTCTGAAAATATTAAAACTCAAAAATTCTGTACAGTGGTGCCTCGCTTAATGACGTTAATTCGTTCCAGTGAAATCGCTGTAGAGCGAAAACGTCGTAAAGCGAAATAAAAGAGCCAATTGAAACGCATTTAAAACCGTTCAATGCATTCCAGTGGGCTGAAAAACTCACTGTCCAGCGAAGATCCTCTATAGGGGTGGCCATTTTCGGTGCCTACAAGGAGATTTCACCCTGATCTGGGCCTTATATGTGGAGATGTCTTGCACCATCCATATTCAAGGATACAGCCTATATAAGCACTGTTGATTATGAGTTTCCCCCCTTGATGATCAGAGGATTCAAGGCTGAGTGGGTATGACTCAGTGGAAATCATGATCTCATAGGACTGCGGCCAAATTCTGCTCTTGGCATGCAAATATTTTGCCTCCAAGACCAGAGGCGATCAAACTGGTGGATTGGTTGGTTTGTAAATTTTGTATTAGTTGAATAGATTTGATTGTGATAGTCCGAAAGATAAATCTGGGTCTACTCACGGATCTCCGGGTGAACTGCACACGAGTGAGAAGTATTTTCTGACTTCCAGCAGCAACGAGCAACACTCTCTCTTTCGGTCTCTCCTTATACCCTCCTTGTCCTCACTTGCACCCTTGTTTGGGTAGGAATTAATTTTTATATAGTGCACTCAATGCAGTTCTGGTACCAAGAAAGCTTGGTGTGACCAGGAGTGAATTTTTATATTCTTTAATTCTAAGGATTTAACATTCAGGTAGAATAATCCCCCCTCCCTGCACACACACATTCATATAATTCCTTGAGGAGTAATACAAGCTTCAAAGATGGCGGTTGTTTTGTTGATCACTCTTCATCGTTTCCTCTTTTCCATACACTTGCCTCGGAATGTGACTTCCTTTCTATCTTTATTTGAGACATAGGCAAATTTCTCAGGTCCAGCCCCCCTCACGGCAGCTTCCAACATACACACAAAAAAGTCAATTAAATCCCAATAAAACAGCATTGCCATTAAAACAGGAAGCTCAATGCAATAACACTAAAATCAAATCAATTATTTATAGTTAAAAGGGCACCAGAGCAAACATCAGCAAGTAAAATGTATGCAGCAGCAGTGTTGTTTTCCCTGGCATAATATGATTATGAAATTAAAATAAATAAACAATGATGATGTGTTGTTTTTTTGGCAAGGTTGTTCTTTCAAACTCTTCCTGCTGAACATTTGCTGCCGCCCAGTGGCAACGATGAGAACAACAGAACTGTCTTGCTGGGTTCTTTTTAAATCTTTAATTTTTCTAATATGATGCAGAATTCAATGATTATTAGAGGCCATTCCAAGACAGAGGTCATCTGAGATCACTCAGAGTTTGCCTGGCTTGTGAGGTTTATCAGCCCTTCCACCTGTGCAGCCCTGGACAACTTGCAAAGTAATCCAGGGGCACCCCCAGAAAGAGTGATGGGGAAAACACTTTGAAGTGTTGCCACGACTGGATTACGTATAAACGTTAAATAATCTTTGATTCTCCATTGCTGTGCAGAGTTGAATGAATATTGCATAGAAACCTGTGGCTGGATAGCTCTGTGCTTTTTTAGACCACCTGACTCTTGAGATAGGGTTGTCAGGACGAATCACTGTTGTATATTCCAGGAGAAAGCTCAGACCGTGTGGTTTTGGGCAAGCTGCACACAATCCCAGAGAACCACCAGAAGGAGGGAGGGAGTACATTATGCATAGAGAACCCTGGGTTTAGGCCTCCTTCAGTCTGGAGAGACGGTGGTAACGTGCTCTGTATGGAGGACTTGGAACGGTGTCTAGTGTGGCTGAGAAGGCCAATTCGAGAGTGACAATCCCTTCCACACTGAGGACAAATACAATCTGTCCCTTGTCCAGCTCCTCTGATTTTGCTGGTTTCGGGCAGCCTCTTTGCCTCGGCCTGCTGGACAAGGGTCCCTTCAAATTGGGAGAGGCTGTGATGCATTGCCTGCTTCCAGGCTGAACGCTCAGATGTCAGGGTTTCCCATCTGTTGAAGTCCATTCCCAAGGCCTTCAGATCCCACTTGCAGATCTCCTTGGCTTGCAGCTGTGTTCTCCCTCTGGGGCAGTTTCCCTGCACTCATTCTCCATACAGGAGATCTTTTGGAATCTGACCATCAGCCATTGTCACAACATGCCCGAGCCAATGTAGACATCGCTGTTTCAATAATGTATAGATGCTAAAAATTCCACCTAGGACTACTCTTTTTAGAACTTTGTCGTGCCAGGTGATACCAAAAATGTGTCGGAGACAACGCATATAGAACGTGTTCAGCTTCCTCTCCTGGGGAAACCCTGGGAATGGTCCCACATTGTGATGGACTAAGACACAGGCAACTTGAGTTTAAATCCCTATGTGGCCATGGAAACTCACTGGTAATAGTAACAGCATTCCTTAAATGTCTCACCTTGAAAACCTTATAAGGATGGTCAAAAGTCAGAGGTGACTTGATGGGGCATAGCACAACATTGTTTTCCTAGTTTCGTTTTCAGGTTTAGGTCTAGAGGAGCATGAGAGGAGTTTATTTGCTGCTCAGCCTTCTTTTAAACTAAGTACACTAGGACCGCTGTAGCCATGGGATCAGTATCCACGGTTTCACTTATCTCTGGTCTGAAAACATTAAAAGTATTAAAAGAAAAAGATACAGAAAAAACTATTACCGTAACAGGCCAGCAGAAGGAGCCAGAGACCGTGCTATGAATACTCGTTAGTGAGGAATACATAGCATGGTCCTTGGCATCCTCTAGTGGCCAGTTCTGGTAATGCATGTGAAAATATTTTTTCTTGTTGCTTTCCTTTTATTATGCTATACAGTGGTGTCTCGACTTACGAATATCCCTACTTATGACCATTTCAAGTTACGACCAGCTCTGGCCGCAAAATTTTGTTTCTACTTGCACTCTGGCCACAAAATTTTGCTTGTACTTGCAACTGGAGGTTCCACTTACGAACAGAAAAAAGCAGGGGGAAAAGGCAGGAAATTCAAATTTCTAACTGTAGGTGGCAACGAGGCTGCTTCTTTATAGCTCTTTTGCCCCAGCAGTTAGGGAGCATGCCTCAGAGCCTCTTTTGCCCCAGCAGTTAGAAAGTGTGCCTCAGAGCAGGCTTGGGACTGCCGCCTTCTGCTTCTGAGTGAGTGCGTTTGTGTGTTTGCAGGGAGGCTTCGGGCTGCCTGATAACGTAGAGTGCTGTTTTCTGCTTTTTAAAAACTGTTCTGGGTGTTTTTCAAGTGTGGTTTTGAGCTGGGGGGTTATGTTTCTGTGCTGTGATGGGTCTTGCGGGGTTTCTTTGTTTTTTGGGTTTCCCCTATTTCCAATGGGTCTTGGGTAGTTTTGTTGCTTTTTTGAGTGTTTTGGGGGGTTGTTTTTGTGGGTTTTCCCCCCATTTCCGATGGGTCTT